TTCGTCTGTTTCTCTCAGTTGCTGTCTGTCTAGTGTTGTCTATTCGTCTGTTTCTCTCAGTTGCTGTCTGTCTAGTGTTGTCTATTCGTCTGTTTCTCTCAGTTGCTGTCTGTCTAGTGTTGTCTATTCGTCTGTTTCTCTCAGTTGCTGTCTGTCTAGTGTTGTCTATTCGTCTGTTTCTCTCAGTTGCTGTCTGTCTAGTGTTGTCTATTCGTCTGTTTCTCTCAGTTGCTGTCTGTCTAGTGTTGTCTATTCGTCTGTTTCTCTCAGTTGCTGTCTGTCTAGTGTTGTCTATTCGTCTGTTTCTCTCAGTTGCTGTCTGTCTAGTGTTGTCTATTCGTCTGTTTCTCTCAGTTGCTGTCTGTCTAGTGTTGTCTATTCGTCTGTTTCTCTCAGTTGCTGTCTGTCTAGTGTTGTCTATTCGTCTGTTTCTCTCAGTTGCTGTCTGTCTAGTGTTGTCTATTCGTCTGTTTCTCTCAGTTGCTGTCTGTCTAGTGTTGTCTATTCGTCTGTTTCTCTCAGTTGCTGTCTGTCTAGTGTTGTCTATTCGTCTGTTTCTCTCAGTTGCTGTCTGTCTAGTGTTGTCTATTCGTCTGTTTCTCTCAGTTGCTGTCTGTCTAGTGTTGTCTATTCGTCTGTTTCTCTCAGTTGCTGTCTGTCTAGTGTTGTCTATTCGTCTGTTTCTCTCAGTTGCTGTCTGTCTAGTGTTGTCTATTCGTCTGTTTCTCTCAGTTGCTGTCTGTCTAGTGTTGTCTATTCGTCTGTTTCTCTCAGTTGCTGTCTGTCTAGTGTTGTCTATTCGTCTGTTTCTCTCAGTTGCTGTCTGTCTAGTGTTGTCTATTCGTCTGTTTCTCTCAGTTGCTGTCTGTCTAGTGTTGTCTATTCGTCTGTTTCTCTCAGTTGCTGTCTGTCTAGTGTTGTCTATTCGTCTGTTTCTCTCAGTTGCTGTCTGTCTAGTGTTGTCTATTCGTCTGTTTCTCTCAGTTGCTGTCTGTCTAGTGTTGTCTATTCGTCTGTTTCTCTCAGTTGCTGTCTGTCTAGTGTTGTCTATTCGTCTGTTTCTCTCAGTTGCTGTCTGTCTAGTGTTGTCTATTCGTCTGTTTCTCTCAGTTGCTGTCTGTCTAGTGTTGTCTATTCGTCTGTTTCTCTCAGTTGCTGTCTGTCTAGTGTTGTCTATTCGTCTGTTTCTCTCAGTTGCTGTCTGTCTAGTGTTGTCTATTCGTCTGTTTCTCTCAGTTGCTGTCTGTCTAGTGTTGTCTATTCGTCTGTTTCTCTCAGTTGCTGTCTGTCTAGTGTTGTCTATTCGTCTGTTTCTCTCAGTTGCTGTCTGTCTAGTGTTGTCTATTCGTCTGTTTCTCTCAGTTGCTGTCTGTCTAGTGTTGTCTATTCGTCTGTTTCTCTCAGTTGCTGTCTGTCTAGTGTTGTCTATTCGTCTGTTTCTCTCAGTTGCTGTCTGTCTAGTGTTGTCTATTCGTCTGTTTCTCTCAGTTGCTGTCTGTCTAGTGTTGTCTATTCGTCTGTTTCTCTCAGTTGCTGTCTGTCTAGTGTTGTCTATTCGTCTGTTTCTCTCAGTTGCTGTCTGTCTAGTGTTGTCTATTCGTCTGTTTCTCTCAGTTGCTGTCTGTCTAGTGTTGTCTATTCGTCTGTTTCTCTCAGTTGCTGTCTGTCTAGTGTTGTCTATTCGTCTGTTTCTCTCAGTTGCTGTCTGTCTAGTGTTGTCTATTCGTCTGTTTCTCTCAGTTGCTGTCTGTCTAGTGTTGTCTATTCGTCTGTTTCTCTCAGTTGCTGTCTGTCTAGTGTTGTCTATTCGTCTGTTTCTCTCAGTTGCTGTCTGTCTAGTGTTGTCTATTCGTCTGTTTCTCTCAGTTGCTGTCTGTCTAGTGTTGTCTATTCGTCTGTTTCTCTCAGTTGCTGTCTGTCTAGTGTTGTCTATTCGTCTGTTTCTCTCAGTTGCTGTCTGTCTAGTGGTGTCTGTCCGTCTGTTTCTATCAGTTGCTGTCTGTCTAGTGGTGTCTGTCCGTCTGTTTCTCTCAGTTGCTGTCTGTCTAGTGTTGTCTATTCGTCTGTTTCTCTCAGTTGCTGTCTGTCTAGTGTTGTCTATTCGTCTGTTTCTCTCAGTTGCTGTCTGTCTAGTGTTGTCTATTCGTCTGTTTCTCTCAGTTGCTGTCTGTCTAGTGGTGTCTGTCCGTCTGTTTCTATCAGTTGCTGTCTGTCTAGTGGTGTCTGTCCGTCTGTTTCTCTCAGTTGCTGTCTGTCTAGTGTTGTCTATTCGTCTGTTTCTCTCAGTTGCTGTCTGTCTAGTGTTGTCTATTCGTCTGTTTCTCTCAGTTGCTGTCTGTCTAGTGGTGTCTGTCCGTCTGTTTCTATCAGTTGCTGTCTGTCTAGTGGTGTCTGTCCGTCTGTTTCTCTCAGTTGCTGTCTGTCTAGTGTTGTCTATTCGTCTGTTTCTCTCAGTTGCTGTCTGTCTAGTGTTGTCTATTCGTCTGTTTCTCTCAGTTGCTGTCTGTCTAGTGGTGTCTGTCCGTCTGTTTCTATCAGTTGCTGTCTGTCTAGTGGTGTCTGTCCGTCTGTTTCTCTCAGTTGCTGTCTGTCTAGTGTTGTCTATTCGTCTGTTTCTCTCAGTTGCTGTCTGTAAATTTTGTCTGTGCTGTCCATGTTTTTGCTGTCTGACTGTTGTTGTCTATTGGTTGCTGTCTATTGCTGTCCATGTGTCTCTATGTATGCTGAACATGCCATTTCCAACAAGACATAAAGACAAACAGGTAACTCCGCGCTCTAAGGAATAACTCAATTAAAAAGTATTTTTGTATGAGACTAAACAAAATTTTTAAAGTACATTATAGGAAAACGAGATTCTATTCTTTTTAAAAGTTTAAGTAAATCAAAATGGATTCAAAATATTGTCCATATCCCGAGTTGCCATCCCTCGTAGTGTTATATAAGAATATTCGAGAAAGTTTAGGGGAGATCACTCTCGGTTTATTTTAAAAGTATATATTTTAATTTTTATTTATTTTACGTTTAATTTAAATAATATTTTCACGAAACCTTGAAATGTAAACTTCACACTTCCCGCAAGTATTTTTTTAAACAACAAATTGAAGCTATGAAATTATTGATGTGATTTTCCCGCAAACGTCGAACGATTTTTGTGTGTGCGGACGGTGATATTTTAGCGCAGGCAAAAACACCTCATTCTGTTCACTGCAAGGAACCGAACAGGAAACACGATGTGAATGATACAAAAGTGTGAAACGACACGGACTTTCACGCCGCGAATTGGTGTGTAATTTTTTTTCTGTGTTCGACGACTTTTTACTCCGAATGTAGTGACGTCACTAGCCTCGATAGGGGAGACAAATTTTTTTTCTATTTTAGTCCAGTAATCACCTAGAGAGGTGGGGGAGATGCGAGTGGTTAAAACAAGCGTGAGTTTTGAGGTTTGGGGGTGGGGGGCGTGGGGGGGATGTTAGCGTCAAGTCAATGTCGGCCGTGACAAAAAAAATTTTTGGTGTCGGAGTTCGTTAAAAAATGTATCACTAGAACACCTTGTTTTTCTGTCTGACTCGATTGATTTTTTCATTGGTTATTCCGAGCTTTTAAATCTGCTGAAATTGTATCGATTTTCAAACAGACTTCCAGAATATTCTAGTAGCCATGAAAAATAAAAACTTGATGTATCGTGTGAGTTTTCAACGTTTCCTATTGTTAGTTCCCCGGATGTGTAACGAGTCGTGTGTAACATGCACGGAAATGTTAGTTCCTTCGATGTAATGAAATACAGCTGGCATATAATTAAATTTGAGTTTCTTCCCCTAGGGTCAAGGTCGTGATATGAATCAAGTTCACAAAAAAATGGCGTCTTCCTGTCTGTTCGTCGAAATATCTGTTACAACGAACTATAGATGAGATTTGAGTGAGACTCTTTCTCCACTTGTTTCTAATACCAATGTCTCCTAAACTAGAGCAGTCAAATCAGGGGCGTAGCGAGGGGGGGGTGCGGATCGCACCGGGTGACACCATTTAGGGGGGTGACACCAAGGCAAAAAATAGCAAAATATATAGAGAAAAACTTGAGGGGGGGTGCAAATCGAAAGTTGGGGGGGGGGTGCAAATCGAAAATTTGTCCCCGAGAGGGGTCGCTACGCCTCTGGGGGGTGACACCATTAAGTGCCGCACCGGGTGACACCCGACCTCGCTACGCCACTGAGTCAAATAAATAGGACGACTATCATCTATCAAGCTGCTGTTGGCCAGATAATTGTCGGTTAATCAAATAAATATTCTGCTATATTTATATCAAGGATCTCACGCAACCTCCAACAATTTCTTATGTTTTTTTCCCAATTCTACATACCCCTCCCCCTCCCCATTCCCCACCTCTCCAACCCCATTTCCCACTTTTCTTATCTATTTCAATGTCAATGTTTGCACACGACCTTCAGCTACAAGCGCACGTGGAACACTTCATTAACCTCATTACTTCTTTTGTTTATAGCCCATCTCATGTATTATAAATTGACACATTTTGCTACTCTGGTATATATATATATATATATATATATATATATATATATATATATATATATATATATATATATATATATATATATGTGTGTGTGTGTGTGTGTGTGTGTGTGTGTTACGGGTAGTGAAAGGATGTATACAATAAAAATGATAATTGAAGAGGTTTCAAACTTTGCCTAAATAAACATGCTTTACATATAATGCCGGCATTTCTCACTTTATTTAGAGGATAAATGCATCTCACAAAATAATGCAAGTTGAAACTATACTCTTATTCATAAAAATTAGTCATAAATATATAATCAAGTACCTTACCTACGTACACACACCAATTAGCAACATTAACTAAGACTTAAGAACTAATCAGACTATGTCGGTGAAGCTATTAGTAATGGCATCTTCTTCAAACATAACCTTGAGGTAATGATTGAGGGATCGCCATGCAGCCCACTACCCCCTCACACCCTACCACCACCCCGCCTGTACCCTACCCCACCTCCTATGAGCTGATGCTCAAATGTTTAGAGTTTTTTTTTTATTAAACACAGTCTCCAATAGAAAATCTGGTATTGCTAGTTAGCCATAGAGCAATCTTCTTCAAAAATTCGTGAATACATCAGCGTTTTTTATCTCGGCTTTCTGGGCTGGGGTTATAGATTGCCATGGAGGCATAAAATACACATGAGGCCGTAGAGGGTCGGTGTAGGAAGATAGATCGCTCTGTTCTAAACATGCTTACACAAAGATGCCTCGATATCAATACAAACATGACCTCGACATCAATACAAACATGGCCATAAGATCAATACAAACATGACCTCAATATCAATACAAACATGACCTTGACATCAATACAAACATGACCTCAACATCAATACAAACATGGCCTTGACATCAATACAAACATGGCCTTGACATCAATACAAACATGGCCTTGACATCAATACAAACATGGCCTTGACATCAATACAAACATGGCCTCGACATCAATACAAACATGACCTTGACATCAATACAAACATGACCTCAACATCAATACAAACATGGCCTTGACATCAATACAAACATGGCCTTGACATCAATACAAACATGGCCTTGACATCAATACAAACATGGCCTTGACATCAATACAAACATGGCCTCGACATCAATACAAACATGACCTCGACATCAATACAAACATGACCTCGGCATTAATACAAACATGACCTCAACATCAATACAAACATGGCCTTGACATCAATACAAACATGACCTCAACATCAATACAAACATGGCCTTGACATCAATACAAACATGGCCTCGACATCAATACAAACATGGCCTCGACATCAATACAAACATGACCTCGGCATTAATACAAACATGACCTCAACATCAATACAAACATGGCCTTGACATCAATACAAACATGGCCTCGGCATCAATACAAACATGGCCTCGGCATCAATACAAACATGGCCTTGACATCAATACAAACATGACCTCAATATCAATACTAACATGACCTCAACATCAATACAAACATGACCTCAACATCAATACAAATATGGCTATAACATCTATACACACATGGCCATAACATCAATCAGTGTTTCTTCCAGACTTTTTTCTCCGGGCGGGGGGGGGGGGGTATTTGAAATTTTCGGGGGAGGGGGGGGCGGCAGACTTTTTTCGGCGGGGGGGGGTAGTATACTTTCTTCTGCCCCTCCCCTCCCCCCCCCCCCCCCCCTGAAAAGATGCCTGGAAGAAACTCTTCATCAATACAAACATTGCCACAAAACTTTGAAAAACGTCATTACAAATAGTCTTAACTAAGAGGGATATACAAATATGTCAAAATTTTTCTCTACAAACATAGCCTCAACTTTTATACAAACATGGCCTCACCTAAAAATGCCGTGGCCGAGATGGCCCCCTCTCTGATGGCCACAATGAAGGTGATGCCTGTCTCCATGTACGGCACGGAGAAGTTGATGGCCGTACTCCTGTCCTCGTCTATCGTCATGGAGGCCACGGCCATGTCCGCCTTGCCGTGGACCAAATCTCCAACAATGCCGTCCCAATTGCCGTCGGAGTTCTGGAATCATTTGTGTCGTTTAATTGTTAATAGGCTGGTGCCGAATTTGTGTTGCCAGAAAGCATATTTGTCAACCAAAAATTGAATATTTTATAACATTTGACTATTAATTACAAAATGACTTCCGGTTTTATTAAGGCTGTAAATATTCAAACAAATAATTACTAGTAATATAAAAGTAATTTAGCTAACATTTTTATTTTTAATTTGGATGAGTAGAGTCACGGTGTTGTGGTGATAGGGGATATTATATTATTTAATACGAATACAATAGACATAGGCATAGGCATAGACCTCTATAGTGTATTTTATCATGGAAAACAATTGTTCTGACTTTCATTGTTTTATTCTCCCTGGCTATTCCTGTTGACTTCAAGGAGAGGTTGAGGGCGGTTTTTTTTTTTTAAATATTTGAATTGATGAAATAATTCAAAACGGGTTTTCAATGCTTTTATTCAAACAAAAATGTGAAAATAAGTGTAATTGATGTTTCTTAAACATCCTTAAGTTTTTAAAATCTTACTATAATTTTATCGCTTGCCATATTTTTTAATTTTTTTTAAAAACAATTTATTTAGTATGATTACCTAGACTTTTCAATGCTATTTTTTTTATTTTTGTTTGTTTGTTTATTTTGTTTTGTGAATTTAAAAAAAAAACACGTCAGTTTTTATTGTTTTTTTTTTATCGAATAGCCTTGAATATATTAAACGGGTATTTAGTTTTTTATTTTAAAATGTTTGTTGAACTGTGTATTCTTGTGTTCACAACATGGCTTTTTGAGACACTTTTCTCAATGCATGGAGGGGGAAGGGGGGGGGGGGGCTCGTTAAATTTCCGACAGATGGACGGGGGTCATCCATAAATGACGTCACGCTTTTTTTTTGACGATTTTTACCTCCCCCCCCCCCCTCCGTCACAGATCGTCACAAAAAGCCAGACCCCCCCCCCCGTAAAATGACGTCACACATCAGCCTACAACCCCCCCCCCCCTCAAATTTCCAGATGAATTTTTCTTAAAACATCGATATTTTTCCAAAATCTTGTCTGAACTCTGTCAAAATAGAGTATTTTAATCAATTCATATTACAATTTACTAAAACAGTTTTCTAAAACGCGAAGTAACGTATAAAATTCGCTTTCTAACATTTCTTTTTTATAATGCAAAAGTGTGACGTCGCACCATCTGAACACCCCCCCCCCCTCCCTCATCACACACCGTCACAAAATTACGGACCCCCCCCCTCCCCCTACGAGTGTGACGTCCTTTATGGACGACCCCACACTGGTAAAAGTATATATTTGGTGTATGTATATGGTGTCCTGTTCTTTGATTCCAGTTGCAGCAAGATTATCGTGTAATCTTATAAGGCGTTGCTAACACGGAAATCTAAAGTTGAATTAAGCCTAATCTTATAAGGCGTTGCTAACACGGAAATCTAAAGTTGGATTAAGCCTAATCTTATAAGGCGTTGCTAACACGGAAATCTAAAGTTGAATTAAGCCTAATCTTATAAGGCGTTGCTAACACGGAAATCTAAAGTTGGATTAAGCCTAATCTTATAAGGCGTTGCTAACACGGAAATCTAAAGTTGGATTAAGCCTAATCTTATAAGGCGTTGCTAACACGGAAATCTAAAGTTGGATTAAGCCTAATCTTATAAGGCGTTGCTAACACGGAAATCTAAAGTTGGATTAAGCCTAATCTTATAAGGCGTTGCTAACACGGAAATCTAAAGTTGGATTAAGCCTAATCTTATAAGGCGTTGCTAACACGGAAATCTAAAGTTGAATTAAGCCTAATCTGGTGTTCCCATCATGAAAAATTCCACTCCCCCAGAAGTGTACATACAGCAGGCTAATGTAAAGCACACCTTGATGTCTGTCCCAGCTCCACACTTGCAGGTGACTGACCTATTTAGATGAACATCAGGTCTTTAATGGAATTTAAATTTTGTTTTTGGACGCACGGGAGAGATAACTGATCTATCTCTCACGTGATCAATGACGTCAGAGGTAGTGTCTTATTCACCACCACCAAGAATAGAGGACATGGTATCAAAGTCTTTATATCCCTTTTTGAAGAAATGGTATTTTTAAGGGTTATTTTTAGCTGGCTACTGAGATAAATGTTTGTGTAGCACGCAGCAATGTTAGTAGCATGAAAGTTAATTTTAAAATACCAGGGACAAGCATCTTTGTATCAGTGGCTAGAGGCAAACTACTGCGTCTCAAAGTCTCACCTAAACAAATATTGTTGGGATCAAAGTCTCACCTAAACAAATATTGTTGGGATCAAAGTCTCAAATAAACATATATTGTTGGGATCAAAGTCTCACCTAAACTAATATTGTTGGGATCAAAGTATCATCTAAACAAATATTGTTAGGATCAAAGTCTCACCTAAACAAATTTTGTCGGGATCAAAGTCTCACCTAAACAAATATTGTTGGGATCACAGTCTCACCTAAACAAATATTGGTGGGATCAAAGTCTCATCTAAACAAATATTGTTGGGGTCAAAGTCTCATCTAAACAAATATTGTTGGTATCAAAGTCTCACCGACACAAATATTGGTGGGATCAAAGTCTCATCTAAACAAATATTGTTGGGATCAAAGTCTCATCTAAACAAATATTGTTGGGATCAAAGTCTCACCTAAACAAATATTGTTGGGATCGCAGTCTCACCTAAACAAATATTGTTGGGATCACAGTCTCACCTAAACAAATATTTTTGGGATCAAAATCTCACAGAAACAAATATTGTTGGGATCAGTTTCACATAAACAAATATTGTTAACATCAAAGTCTCCCCTACACAAATATCGGTGGGATCAGTCTTTTACAACATAAAATACCCGGGATTAAATGTATCCACAGATATTTAGTCTTACCTAAACAAATATTATAGGGATCATAGTCTCACTTACCTAAAGATACTAGGGATCAAAGACTAACTCAAAATACTAGGGATCTACTTCTTGCTTTAAGAAAACCAAGGAATTAGCCCTGCGACTGTCGTGTTTAGTTACAAGAGCCGACGTCTAATAACAAAGTTTAGACGCTAGATCTAGCGAGAGACGCCAAACTCACGGTCTAATCCCATGCAGGATTATAAAGGTGCATTGGTTGCAGAAACTATTTTATAGAGCTCAAAAATAAAACCCTCGGTATTTCAAGAAATGCAGTGGGGGAAAACGGTTAGGATAAAGTGTGGGATATCCTCAGGATATAGGATAGAAACTCGCTGGCCACTTACTTTATTGCCCCATTGGTAATCCTCGACCTCGTACAGATAGAAGTCAAAGTTCAAGGCCACTGATAGTCTGTGCAGGAAGTCGATGCTGAGTCCAGTACAGCAGCGTTTGACAGTCGTGTTGGATATTCTGTGGGCAGAGATGGGCATATAGGGCACATGTTTTGTTATCTAGGGCACATGTGTTATTATCTAGGGCACATGTTTTGTTATCTAGGGCACAGGTTTTATTAGCTAGGGCACACGTTTTATTATCCAGGGGACTTGTTTTGTTATTTAGAGTACATTTTTTTGTTATTTAGGGCACATGTTTTATTATCTAGGGCACATGTTTTATTAACAAGTGCACATGTATTATTATCTAGGGCACATGTTTTATTATCTAGGGCACATGTGTTATTATCTAGGGCACATGATGATGATAAAAGGCACATGTTTTATTATCTAGGGCACATGTTTTATTATCTAGGGCACATGTATTATTATCTAGGGAACATGTTTTATTATCTAGGGCACATGTTTTATTATCTAGGGCACACGTTTTATTATCTAGGGCACATGTTTTATTATCTAGGGCACATGTTTTATTATCTAGGGCACATGTTTTATTATCTGCGGCACATGTTCTGTAAACTAGGACAATGTATTATTATCTGCGGCACATGTATTGTTTAGAGCTCATATTGTTGTTTTTTTCTATGACACAAGATTTATTAATCCCGAGGAGTTAAATACAAAACCAATTAATGTATTAGTTGGGCTAACAAATGTGTAGTATTGTGTATCGGGGTACGTTATATCGGGCAAGAAACTATACTTTCCTTACCACGAGTTGATCTTTTTTTCGAGAAATGATAAATACTTAAGACTAAGTTTTAAAAAAAAACAATCAAAACTTTCATAGTGTTGCTACTCCAGATTAAGGTATTCAAGTAGCTTAGGTAAAATGAGCTTAGCTAATCTGTGTTGTAAATAATGACATGGTAGGGTGGTAGAGGCTAAGACTGTTTACCTAAACGTCTTGAGCTCAGTTCTGCAGGATGGAAAAGTAAGACGGCTGGGTAACGAACTGACCCAACCACGTATTTATATACCTGGGTGCCGGAAAAAGGTGAGCTCTACTTCATATGTCCCACCAGTTTTTAGATCTGAGATGAGCTGTTTTAATTTTTAATTTTAACCTAACACTGAGTACTACAAAAAACGACTCTGAACAACACGTGAAACGATCGTGTGACCCACTGACCTAAATTCGTTCTTATCCCGATCATACACGTGACATAGATAAGAAAAATGGCCGCAACTTCCGTTTTGGCTGAGGTCCCGGTACTCGACAAATGGCGGCTCCTCTCTGGTCACGATGCGCAGGAAGTGACGTTTGGGTTTGCCCGTGGGTGGGGTCGTGTGACCGTTAGGCCACGTGATGTGCTTCATGTGGATGCCGCCGCTTGTGAACATACCGACCTTGAGAAAAAAAAAGTTAATTAATTTGCAACGCAAGCATAATTGTAAACGTATGCAACTAAAAGCTGCAGAGGCGTAGCGACCCTACCCGGCGCCCGGGGACAAACTTTTCGATTTGCACCCCCCCCCCCTCGAACTGTTCATTTGCACCCCCCTCAAGCTTTCAATTTGGCGCCCCCCCCCCCCTAAGGTCGGCGCCCGGGGACATATCTCCCCCCCCTCCCCCCCCCCCTCGCTACGCCTCTGAAAAGCTGTAATGTATCAACAGTGTTTTTAACACGATTTGCAACAAATCTCGCCACCTCTGCATTACTTAGATATTTGCGTAAGATGAAAATTTGATAAATGGTCAACACAGGCTCCCGAGCAATAACTCCCTCAACATAAATTCCCAGTATAACGCCCCCTTCCACCGACGTAACGCGCTATCTCTCCCCCCTCCCTCCCCCACACACACACACCCGGACATAAACCCTGAACAATAACCCCACGGCTAATGTTTATACAAGGTTGTCATTAGTATTTCCTTAGATAGGGATCTTATTTTGAGGGTTTGTTTCGTCCTAACCCCGACACCGCATTAGTTATTGCTTGTTTTTTTCTAAATAGCTACACAGTATCTATCATTTGAATTGTGGATTTTAAATATGTTCACACAATTAATTAAACTCTAAAAATATCTATCAATATATTGAACTATTTGTTACACTGAAAGGGTATGACAACCAGAGTTTCTTCCAGGCATCTCTTCGAAAAAGTCTACCCCTCCCCCCCCCCCCCGAACGAAATTGAGTTTATATAGAAAATATACACTTTTAACAGTGTCCTTCCCCCCCCCCTCCCCCGAAAATTTCAAATGCATCCTCCCCCGGAAGAAACACTGATGAAAACTGGTATGTTTGTATGTATAAAATATTTATGACTACGATCAATATTGTAATTAATTAATACAGCTGGGTTCGTAAATTAGGGTTTAAAGACACCATTTAAATCTGACAAAATACGTCAAAAAGAGGGCGTGTTTATCAAATATTCAAGGGGCCATCGTGTTGACCAGACCCGCACCGAACGACCCCTGGGTAGACTGACCTCCCTCCATTTCTTCTCCACCTCCCCGGGCACCGACTGCTGAACGTTGACGATCTTGATGTCCTTGTACTTCAGCTGACCCAGTTCGTTAAACGAAACCGTGTCCGTGGTGACGTTTCTCAGATATCTGTAACAAAATGACGTCATTTGAGTGTAACGTGGAGAAGTAACGAAACGATACGTAGATCGGGGGAAAGAAATATTTATAAAAGGACAGCCGGATGGCCGTGATAAATGGGAGGGTGATCGATATAAGTGACATGAGTGACAGATGAAAGGAATTGGCAGTAAAGTACGCACTGGTAGAACGTGTGCCCGTCCTTCCATCTCAGCTCCGCCTTGGACTGGCAGTCTAAATTTGGCAGCTTCCATGGGAGGTCACCCGCTGTGCCATCCGGTGTGACCGACGCCATGAAAGACTGGTGAAGACCTTTCAGCCACACGGAGACTGCCGTCTTGATGGCTTGCTCCATCTCCTCGTCCCGGTAGTCGTAGTGGATGCCTGGGTGGTGGGAGGGTGGTGGGAGGGTGGTGTGGTCAGACGTCCAGTTGGTTATAGATAGGCAGACGTCCAGTTGGTCATAGACACGGTCAGACGTCCAGTTAGTTATAAACACTGTCAGACGTCCAGTTGGTTAAAGATAGACACTGTCAGACGTCCAGTTGGTTATAGATAGGCAGACGTCCAGTTGGTCATAGATAGACAGACGTCCAGTTGGTTATAGATAAGCACTGTCAGACGTCCAGTTGGTTATAGATAGGCAGACGTCCAGTTGGTTATAGATAAGCACTGTCAGACGTCCAGTTGGTTATAGATAGGCAGACGTCCAGTTGGTCATAGATAGGCAGACGTCCAGTTGGTCATAGATAGGCAGACGTCCAGTTGGTTATAGGCACCGTCAGACGTCCAGTTGGTCATAGATAGGCACTGTCAGACGTCCAGTTGGTCATAGATAGGCAGACGTCCAGTTGGTCATAGATAGGCACTGTCAGACGTCAAGTTGGTCATAGATAGGCACTGTCAGACGTCCAGTTGGTTATAGATAGGCAGACGTCCAGTTGGTCATAGATAGGCAGACGTCCAGTTGGTTATAAATAAGCACTGTCAGACGTCCAGTTGGTTATAGATAGGCAGACGTCCAGTTGGTCATAGATAGGCACTGTCAGACGTCAAGTTGGTCATAGATAGGCACTGTCAGACGTCCAGTTGGTCATAGATAGGCAGACGTCTAGTTGGTCATAGATAGGCAGACGTCCAGTTGGTCATAGATAGGCACTGAGTGACGTCCAGTTGGTCATAGATAGGCAGACGTCCAGTTGGTCATAGATAGGCACTGTCAGACGTCCAGTTGGTCATAGATAGGCACTGAGTGACGTCCAGTTGGTCATAGATAGGCAGACGTCTAGCTGGTCATAGATAAGCACTGTCAAACGTCCAGCTGGTCATAGATAGGCAGACGTCCAGTTGGTCATAGATAGGCAGACGTCCAGTTGGTCATAGATAGGCAGACGTCCAGTTGGTCATAGATAGGCAGACGTCCAGTTGGTTATAGATAGGCACTGTCAGACGTCAAGTTTAACTAACTCAACCTAAACGGTCCATGATAATTTGCAAAAATGATAGTTACCTAGCCTGCAGTTGTTTTAATAAATGCTAATGTATTTCAAAGATATTTACTAGTAATATAGCCGGTGCTTAACTTGATGAAAGAAAATATAACTACGTTTTTTTAAAAATCAGTTTTGGTTTTTGCAAAGTTATTTACCTGTTTTAAGAACTATTCGTTACTAAATAGAACCGTTCTGGTCGACACTGTTACGTCATGTGCTGATCACGTGACTTACCGAACAGCCCGAGGGGTAAGTTGTTGGCCAGGGAGAGTTTGTTTTTGTTGATGGCCTCAAAGGTCAGAAACCACAGGTACTCGTTGCTCATCAGGCCAAGCCGGGCGGCCTCGGAGATGATGGGGATGGTGACGGCCCTGTGATGGGTAGATGTGATGTGAACACAGGGAGGGGGGGGCGGAGATGATGGGGATGGTAACGGCCCTGTGATGAGTAGATTTGGTGTGGACACAGGGAGGGGGGGGGGCGGAGATGATGGGGATGGTAACGGCCCTGTGGTGGGTGAGTAGATGTGAACAGAGGGAGAGGGGATGGTGATGGGCATGGGCATGGGCATGATAACGGCCCTGTGATGGGTGAGTAGATTTGGTGTGGACACAGGGAGGGGGGGGGGCGGAGATGATGGGGATGGTAACGGCCCTGTGGTGGGTGAGTAGATGTGAACAGAGGGAGAGGGGATGGTGATGGGCATGGGCATGATAACGGCCCTGTGATGGGTGAGTAGATTTGGTGTGGACACAAGGAGGGGGGGGCGGAGATGATGGGGATGGTAACGGCTCTGTGGTGGGTGAGTAGATTTGATGTGTACACAGGGAGGGTAGATGATGGGGATGGTAACGGCTCTGTGGTGGGTAGATTTGATGTGAACACAGGGAGGGGGGGGGGGGTCTGTTGTTTACAGGTGATGATACTAATCAGTTTGGGTAAGTCGATCATGGCTAAGTATAGTGTAAAGCATGCCGTGTCTCATATATGTGTTTGCTTCCATATAAAACATACAATCACGCGCCACATTTATATATTTTATATGTGCATAAATAAATAAATAAATAAATAAATAAATAAATATATATATATATATATATATATATATATATATATATATATATATATATATATATATATATATATATATTATTTATTTATTTATTTATTTATTTATTTATTTATTTATATTTTTATTTAACTGTTGGATGCATATGTGTTTGTTTCCCTCACAGGGTGTTGTAAAGTAGACAGATGTTGATGTAACTTTGAATGATGAGTAGTTGAAATAGTTCACAGAAAAAGTTTAAGTTAAAACATTACCAGATGAAAGTGAACCACGCTAAAGGAAGTGAACCAGAATAAACTTACTCGAAACAGAAGAGGAGAATGATGCGGGTTTCACTTTTGGTCAGTATCCTCATGTCGTCGGTCAGACGTTTGGGGTCAGTGGCGTTGGACACCTCCACCTCATCGATGATGGTAAACCTGGGATTTGGGATCAAATTAATCCAATTAATGATGGTAAACCTGGTGTTTTGGATAAAAACAATCTAATGAATGATGCTAGACTTGGAGTTTGGGATAAAAACAACCCAATTAATTATGGTAAACGTGGGGTTTTGGATTTAAAAAATCCAATTAATGATGGTAAACCTGGGTTGTGCGATCAAATCAATCCAATTAATGATCGAATAAATCGCATAAGTGATCAATTTAATATCTAAAATATTGATCAATTTTAAATCAATATTGTGTGTGTGTGTTAAGTATTGGCTTCAATATCCTATGGTTCGCACCATATTTGTTCATGTAAGCCACTTTGACCAAATTAAGACACAATAAAAGTGGTCTAGCGGTAGAGAGCTGGACTGCTAACCCGTAAGTCTCGAGTTCGAATCCGGGTTCAAGTCAGTAGACCGTCCCTGAGTCCACCCAACTCTGATGGGTACCTAACTCACATTAGGGAAAGTAAAGGCGGCTGGGCATAGTGCTAACCACACTATCTCTTCATATGCCGAGGTCACAGAAACAAGTGAACTCTACTGCACTTGCCCCATAGACCGTCAGGTTTGAAAGGGAAACTTTACTTTTTTTTTAAAATGTAATATAAAATACAACACTAATTGCCATACAGTTATGGGTAATCCCTTAATTAGTATTAGGCCTATCTGACCAGGTGGATTGTAATTAAGTACCCTCACGCAATTAATTAAGCAGGTGTCGACAACATAAAACCCATGCTAATGGTTGTAAACAGAACAATTGCTATGTATCAGGTAGAGAAACATTCAGATTGTGCGCTAATGTAAGCTGGAGTGTCTGCCTGTCACTGTACAGGGTAGAAGGTAAAAGAGAGTGACTTGCTTTGATAGTGTGTGTGAGGGTGTGTGTGTGTTTGAGTATTCGTCATAGTGGTAATGTGAGTGTATGAGTGTAAGCGTGTGTGTCAAAAGAGTACGGGTGTGATTTGTACAAAGAGTGTGTGAGAGTGTGAGTGTACACGCAGCTGAGAGTGTGTAAGTGTGTGAGTGTGTACGTGTGAGAGTGTGAGTGTGTGTGTCTCTGAGTGTGTGAGTGTAAATGTGACTGAGTGTGTGAGAGTGTGAGTGAACACACGGCTGAGAATGGGCGTATACACGCGGTTGAGTGTGTGAGTGTGTGCGTTTGTGTTTGTGTGTGTGTGAGTTTGTGTGTGTGTGAGTGGAATATCATCAAAGCCCACCAAGAGATGGGGAGATGTCTCGGCGGTGACGTAATAAAAAGTTGGGAGTCCAATCAAGACGGCCAGGGTTTGATGGTGCGTCGCCGCTGTTTTATATCGAATAGAACTGCTGGTCTTGATTATACACCACGTGATGCGGAAATAGACTCAACACCACGTGATGCGGAAATAGATTCAACACCACGTGATGCGGAAATAGACTCAACACCACGTGATACGAAAATAGACTCAACACCACGTGATGCGGAAATAGATTGAATAACACGTGATACGGAAATAGACAACACCACGTGATGCGGAAATAGACTCAACACCACGTGATACGGAAATAGATTCAACACCACGTGATACGGAAATAGACAACACCACGTGATGCGGAAATAGACTCAACACCACGTAATGCGGAAATAAATTCAACATTACGTGATACGGAAATAGATTCAACACCACGTGATACGGAAATAGACTCAATACCACGTGATACGGAAATAGACAACACCACGTGATGCGGAAAAAATACTCAACACCACGTAATGCGGAAATAAATTCAACATTACGTGATACGGAAATAGATTCAACACCACGTGATACGGAAATAGACAACACCACGTGATGCGGAAATAGACTCAACACCACGTAATGCGGAAATAAATTCAACATTACGTGATACGGAAATAGATTCAACACCACCTGATACGGAAATAGATTCAACACTACGTAATACGGAAATAGATTCGGAGTTTTTTTTGTGTAGGGAACCATATTGATTGGAACCGTTTTGTCGGTAGTCCAAGTGAATGGAACCGTATTCGATGGGGTCGATTTGAAGGGGTCATTTAGTCGGGGCCGTTTATTCAGAAACGTTTGGTCACTGACCGTATCGATGCCGCCATATTCAACGATTTCAATGTATACTGACTGGTTCGATATTTTGTTTTACTGTATACACGTTTATTTTAGTTTTTGACCAGTCCCGATACACAGATTAAACAGACATGATATTGTGTACGTGGATAGAGTACACATATTCGAATGTACCAGATATAGAAGCGGTTTGATTTCGCCTCATGGGATCTGCCATACCCGCTTTCATACAGCCCTGTTATAGCTCTCTACGCAGGGGCGTAGCGAGGGGGGGGGCGGGGGGTGACACCATTTAGGGGGGGGGGGGGGTGACACCAAGGCAAAAAATAGCAAAATATATAAAGAAAAACTTGAGGGGGGGGGGGGGGAAATCGAAAGTTTGAGGTGGGGGGGGGGAAATTGAAAACTTGAGGGGGGGGGGTGCATATCGAAAATTTGAAAGTTTGTCCCCGGGAAGGGTCGCTACGCCTCTGGGGGGGGGGGGGTGACACCATTAAGTGCCGCACCGGGTGACACCCGACCTCACTACGCCACTGTCTCTACGTACTACTTTAACAAAGGGAACATAACAACATATGCTTTACCTACCGCCTTACAACATATGCTTTACATATTGCCTTACAACATAAAATCTGCTTTTTTTTTTCAGAATAATACAAAATGGAAATATATATTGTAATATGTTGTAAAAGATATGACAAATATTTGTACAAAGCTAAGTAGAATAGACAAGTCCATAATCCACAAGTCCGGTAATCCAAAAAGGAAAGATACGTTACTCTGATAAAATTAATGAGTTTCTATGCATAGCCTCCCTTGTATGATCTTGGCTCTTGAATTAACGGACACACGAAATACAGCTTCGGTAAAGGGAGAAAAAAAACCTCGGGTTTTTTTTAAAGGGAAGTAACTCTCATCTCCCTGCTTGATCAACCCAGCTCACACATTCAAACTATTTTAATACCCACGTGCAGCCCATCAGGTCAACTCCACGGAATGAAACACCACCCCCCACCCCACCCCCCCTTCCCAACCCACGCCCCCCCCCCCCCGCCCTTCCCACCCCATTTCTCCAAAATACACCTCATTTCCGAGATAGACATTCACGGGGAATCGAAAACTGCTATTAGTTTTATCTACAAGCAAAAAGCGAAGACAATTTCTTTCCAGATATATTTTTAGAATACAAATAAGTATGTTTATTTATTTTTTATTTTTGTATTTTTTAAATTTTGTAATTTTTTATTTTGTATTTTTGTATATATATATATATATATATATATATATATATATATATATATATATATATATATATATATATATATATATATATATATATATATATATATTGGCCTATATATATTTAGATTTTTTTTTTGACGGAGCAGCATGACATGACAAAAGATTTCTTGTTTCTGACAATGGCAAGTCATTATTTTTTTCAGTCTGACTTCAGTAGCATCTGGCAGGGACGTGCAGTTCATTATGTTGGCCACTGGTCTAATCAGGAGGATTGGCCACGGGGGATTTCCGTTAAAAGTCACGGGTCACTTTGACATCAGATTATGTGGGGTCACATTTGAGTCTAATAACAGAATATGTGGAGTCACATGTGACTCTAATACCAGAATATGTGGAGTCATATGTGACTATAATACCAGAATATGTGGAGTCATATGTGACTCTAATACCAGAATATGTGGAGTCATATGTGACTCTAATACCAGAATAAAATAAGCCATATGTGACTCGAATACTAGAATATTTGGAGTCATATGTGACACTAATACCAGAATATGTGGAGTCATATGTGACTCTAATACCAGAATAAAATAAGCCATATGTGACTCGAATACTAGAATATACGAAGTCACTGGTGACCAATACCAGAATATGTGGTGCCAGGAGTCACAGGAAAACTAACATACTTGGCGTCACTTACTCCTAATTTATTTCTTAGTTATTTAAAGGAGTATATCCCCATGTTTTACAAATAATAAAAAAACAGAAACCACGAACTTACACTAAAATTAATGACATCACTCAGAAATATTGTTTATCTTTACACAATAAAACATATTTAAAGACGAACCCAAAGTTCCATGCAATTTTCTCCCACCACACCCCACCCCTCCCCCATCCTGATCAGACAACACAAGATATGGTTTGGTATTGTTATTTATCTTGCCTCTCCAAACATTTCGCCCCAGCCGTAAAAACACAATTTCGGTGCAGATCTAGAGGATGGGAAACAAAATGACAAAATCGAACACGCCCCGTGCCTCCCCTGCCCCCGCCTTCTGATCTAGCAGGGTGTACGTAAATAGGCGACGTACTTTAGGACCACGCTCACTCCCCCCCCCCCCCCCCCCCCCCCCAACCTATAGCACAATGTACATACAAAGATGCCGTACTTAAAAGCTAATTCCCTCCCCCTCCCATCCAATATATGTAGCACAATGTCGTACTTTAAAGCTACCCCGCCCCGACCCATGTAGCACGATGTACATACAAAGATGCAGTGCTTAAAGCTACAACCCACCCCCACCCCTAACCGATCAACCACACTGTACATACACAGATGGCGTTCTCTAAAGCTGCCCACCTCCACCCCCAACCTATGGAGCACATCTATGTACATACAAAGATGCAGTGCTTAAAGCTAACCCCCCACCCCAACAACCTATCTATCACAGTGTACTCTAAAGCTTCCCATCCCCGTGTAGTACAATAGAGACAAATAGATGGCGTACTTTAAATCTATCCCCCACCCCCAACATATGTAGCAGATAAGAGACAAATAGAGGGCGTACTAGAAAGCTACCCCCTTAGGTGGTTGAGTTGTGTTTGGGTGCTGGAATTGACCAATTTCCGTCCACTGGCCTGCAGGTCACAAAGT